AGACTGTATATAAGGTACCGCTATGGACTAAAGGGAAGAATAGATTCATTCTGAATTGTACAAGCGAGATCTTCATTAACACTCTCAGCTAAAACTAGATGTGTTGTCAACGGTCGGGATCGCACTCACTTATTCGTTAGTAATTGAAGTGACGATATAGTACAGTGATCCATAAACGTCGTTAAGAAGGAAATATGCTCGGATCTACAGGATACAATCTTCATTATCTCTAAACCGAGGTCGATTCTGAGGCACATAAAGGACACTCTGAAAATTCAAACGGGCTAACTGATTGGGGTTGACAACTCATGAGTATTGTATACCGTTTTTAAGCGATTCGCTATTAAAGGTCAATGCTGGCTGATCTGTAACTGCACACCGCATTAGACTAAGAAAGAGACTTCTAGATACGGGGCACTGGTACTTGTCACAGAACGAAGATACAGGTGGTAGACGGAAGTATTCAGGGGCTTTGTGAAAAGAGCACCGTGGGAAAGACCATAACGAGCCGAAGTAAAACGAGTCGCTATTGATCGCGTGACACAGTATCATTTCTCAGTTCAACAGGCCACGTTTCCAACAGCTTATGGTTACGGGGCATAGACTAAGCTTGCTCTCTCCCACAAGGGATTACAGGTTACGGTCAGTAAGCTTTTTATAAGAAATTTGTCGAACAAGAACGGCAAGCAGCGTTTGAAGACGTGGGTAGTGAACTTTGTTTGGGTTTCGACGATGGGAATGGTCGGACAACTTCATGTTATCATAAGGGGTCTCAGGTGTAGCCAACTGACGACAGGAACTAGATGAGCTGCGGCGAAAAATCAGATCGGGATGACGTATATGGAACGAAGACGAGATTGTATGTTTAATCGCTGTCTGAGAAATGACCGTTTTTTTTCAATTGTGTATCGATTTTCTGCAGGTGGCTTCAGGAGGGGAAAAAAGGCCAAGATTCACAGGCACAATATATGGGGCCAAGTAATGATGAAATGCCAAATAGGCAAAATTTTGGTCAGCACTTATTGTCTGGGAACTGAAAATACTGAGATTCCGGCTTTTAGGAAATCCTGCCGTTTCAGCAAAGCCAGTTCGATAAGTATCAAAACATATACATATATTGAACCTTGGAGTGGAAATGCTGTAAATCGTAACCAGCAGTTTATTAATCAAGGATCACAGAAAATACATTCACATCACTATGCTCCGGTGAAAATGGCAATTTCTTTGTTCCTGATTCACAGAACGAATAGGACGGTGACAGCTATCTTTGACGACAGAATACTTAACTCACGTACCATATTTCCGTACATGGTAGAGCATGTCGTTATTGTTAGAATAAATATTGTATGTTTTCAACATGTATAAACGATTTTAGCAGTAAAAGTTGTTTCGATATTCTTGCCCTGTGGTAGATCTGATTTGGCACAATGGGAAGGGCATTACTAACAAATCAGAAATGTTTTGATATTGCATATCATAGGCTATTACGAATCCGCTCTCGCTAGGAAAAGATCTTCAATTAGTCTTCTGTGAAGATCAGTATAATTAAAGTTTCCTTGTCAACAATCTTATCTATTGTAATTGGGTAGACGCGAGGGGTATCGTCGCGAGAAGGTCGCATTCCCATCACGCCTATTGAAAGAGGATGTTACGCTGCGACAGGTGACAGAAGCCAGCAAAACAACCATCGTCTTTCTGCGTACGAGTCAGAGATAGACGAACAAATTACCGCGGCTGTGTACAACCTTCTTGATCACTGCCACCTAACCGATCGCTTCCTATTTTTTTTAATTTTATATATTTTCATACTATTTTATGCGAATCTTTATCGATATCTAGATATGGATTAGTTGCAGTAGTATGTAGGAACTAGATGCAACTGATCGTTCAACAACAGCCTTGTTATATTCGAGTAATGTGGTCATGCAAAACGTCATAGCTCTCGTATGCGTAGTTTTATAAATTAACCTTAAAAATGTACAAACACGAAGTATTCTTATAGCATGACCCTGTAGATCTACAGTGTTTTGGGCACGACCGCAATACATAATGTCGATAAAGAATATCGTTATTGCTACGAGTCAGCCATTTGAAAGAGTATTAGCAGATCGTGTTATATGGGCAGACGCAAAAACTATCGTTTTGTAAATAGGCTATACGCTTCTGGAGATGTTTGTAGGCGATTCATTCATTTACCCACTTCGACTAGCATCACTCACTAAAGAAAACGACTGAGTCGGCAATCGACATGGTAACTAATGCTCCACTATCCACGGTTACTATTATAATATAGCGTTTTGAACAACAAGTGAAAAGTAAAAGGAATCAAGTAGCAAGCTTTGGCCGATTCCGCTATCTCATACTCGACATATGTTAGCATACTGCAAGGACAAAAGGATCGATAAATGTAAGCAACTGAGTTGAATTAGGACAACAATTATAACATAGTTATCACGTGTTTCAAAAGCAGGCTGACGAACTTCACTGCCGTTGAAATAGGCGCAGACCCGATCTCTCGAAGCCACACGCTAATACACTCTTATGTAGGTTACAAAGTCAACGAGTTTACCTGTTTTCACTTTGAGACCTCAAGAGCTTTCGAAGACGAAAATGGAGATGTCGTTCACAGTGACAAGGGAAACCTGTAACAGGCCACTGCTGTGCTCTTATCGACTTTGGACATATGGCTTATATATAATATAGAGCAGCCAAGCCTATCGGTACCGGTAGGGATTGGAAAAAAATCCTAAATAAATCAATTAAAAGTCTCAAAAGATCTGAATCTCGGCGTGTGCGAGCTTGTCGCTCCTGATTGCTATTTTCATGTAATGATTGTTTACATAAGGAACTCTGAGTAACTTTGACAAGCACCACTTGGAACCCAAGTTACCTGAAAACTGACATTCGTGATTTCCATGAACCTATGAAGGGTATTAGACAAAACTCTAGTCAATACCTCTCACATAGCTGTTTTGAAAAAATCCCGTTGATTGAAAAAAGCTTCATTGTAAAAGGCCATCAATGTCTTTAGGTTCCACAGGTTCGATCTGGTCAAAAAACAAATATTTCAGGCTCTCTGCCTGGCTCTAGTGTCTTTCTAGACGCTAGGCATCTTTTTATATCGCTGGCCGCCTCCAGCACGAAATGACGTGCGCCTACGCCCGGCTAACAACTCAGATCATTTTAAGTGTCCCTAAGTTAGCTAGCCAAAATACATTACTAATACACCATAACGGGGACAGCTTCTGTTCGCCTAAGCTTCTACGCTTACTCCAGTTATATCTCCAGTCGAATTTGAGATGCATATCTGCAATATTCGACCCTTGTGGTCGTCACGCCACGTGCTCTAAATGTGCAAGTCGTGTACGTACAGGTTCATCGCCGTACGAGGTGCTACGTAGAAGCTCTGTAACTAAAACGTAAACAAATACGAAGCATCTATGCGGCCTCTATGCGTTATGTGGCTGATTTGAAATGGGCGGCGAGAATTTGAGATTCAAGTTTGGACGACTGGTAGTAGAATCGTATCTGTGATGCGGGTGTTGGCAGCGTTATGGGAGTAGCAACAGGAGCAGTTAGAAGAGATAATTCAGTGTAGGGGGCTACAGTCCTTTGGGTACAGCGAGGGGTGTCGGGTAGTATCTGGGTGCGAGCGGGAATCACGTATGATCTGCTAAGTGATTTGAACCCTCCATCTGATCACTTATGGATCAGGCGGCTGTTCGAAACCAGCAGGGGGTTTTGGGTTTAGGCTAGAACAAATTCGGGATCAACCGACCGCTAGAAAGTGAACGGGAGGAAGGCTGGAACAGGAATTGAATTCAGAGGAGGAGTTGAGCCGATTGAATCGAACAGTGATCCGAAGGAACAACCGAAAAAAAAAACAGTCAGAATAACAAGCGCTGGTAGAGGTCTGTAGGTGTCAGAGAAGAGCTGACTGAAAACTGATGAAAGGGAAATGGGGGTTATGTGCTTATCGCTGTTGCTCGAGCACCTTTAACCCTAAGAGGCTTCTTAATTGACCGGCTAATAATAGATCAGCACCTACGTGGTTCCGTGGAGAATGCGACCGAGAGAAAGAGTGGGGTACCGATTTAGAGAGAAATCCCGCAGAAATCACTTCTGATACTTCTCGTTCGCGCTTCATTTCGTGTCTTGTTTCTACGCAGGCTGCTATAAGATGACCCGACAACTGTGAAACAAAAATAGTTGTATCTGCAACCCCTACCTTCGGTTCGGTAGACGCTGTAAAAGTACGGGTAGTGCTTTTAGGTAAAAAGCAGTTCCACTTTAAGGAAATCTGAACGACTAAATTGTGGTTACTCACCTTTCTCTGGCAACGTCTAAACTCAAGCTCTCTGCCCGCTGGGGCAATATGCCTATTTCCGGTTAATCGAGATTTCGAATCCAACACACGTCGCTTACTGGAGTGAAAGCATCTCGTAGTAGTTGCGTCAATGCTAAAAACCGTCGCATCTCTATCTGCGCTCCATGTCGTAGCTTAGACAGGGCAACAGATTTGATTCGCGTTTACCTGACCTATTCACGGTTCAATTTTTTCCGTTTTTGCATGTCTGCGTGCATCTCCATATTGATACAACGCGTCCAATGTACATAGAATTCAATGAGGTAAAATTGACTTTTAAGTGCAATGTCTGTGTTTAGTATGGCAATGAGCGCGATCACACACGAGATGATGACTTTCGTACCAGGTAGCCTCGATAATAGGGCAACTGCAATTTCCCCAAGCCGGTGTCCGCGCATACGGACCTATTATTTTTCCCTGGCCTCACATGATTTTGAGAAGCTGAAGCACATGAACGTACTCCACATTTATAATTCAAGCAGCTACAATGATCATGGTGTGGTGTTTCGGATTGCCGCTTCACCGCAATCGAGCTTTATATAGGAGTCCTAATCCTTCGATTAATCATCACCATCATCATCACCATATATTGTCGTACAGGAACAATGTTTACATTCTCATATGGCTTTCTGACCTGTTTTGTTGAGGATGTAATCGATCACGGCTGGCACATCAATAGCGATGAACTCATCAAATGAAAAGTCCCAGAACCTCATGTCCGACGGAGTCATATTAACATGCTTCCTCCCATAGGTGTTTCCCCGTACATTGCCAAGCCAGACGTCAAACCTAAAATCGACACAACCCGACAGGCGCAAAAAAGTTAAAAAGAAAATGAAAAGTGTAGTACAAAATAGCGAAGCTTTATTCGGCGAACGTGAGAAATCTGAACGCGAGTAAGTTTCAACTTGGTTACAATAGCCTTGTATAATACATCAGCCTTACCTCAGAATTGGTCATTATTCCGTTATTATTTGGGATACTATCGAATTTGATATGAGCTAAAACTTGGTTTATATAGTTTGCTATACACATGTTGTCATATATAGTTTGTTATGGTTTTTATAAACGTTAGCTAGTTCTTTATATAGACATTGTATTTTATTTGTACCTCGAAACACACGAGTTTAAGGGAATTTCAGAAGCATTGACTTGATCTACTATTGAAGTTACTATTAATAAAATTTAGTGTAAAATACCACATTCACCCTTGGTCAGCAAGAATATAGCCGAGCGACTCATCAGGGGGGTTCGCGACGAAGTCGAATGATGATGAGAGCAGCCCGTGCTGAAGATATATTACCGGGCGAGAGCCGTTTGCTGGTCGACTTGTGTAACGGCCATAGGGAATCCGTTGAATTTCTGCGGTCAGTTGTTTAAACGTACACATTATTACTATTCCTGGCATAACTAATGAACTTTGTGAATGAGAGACCGATGTAACTGAAACACGATTAAAGCACACGCTTCTTATGGCTCCTAACGAAACGATTATTTGAGGTAGCTGACGCTAATTGAGAAGAATTTTACTTCTAACTATGGAACGGTGGATAACTTTAACAACGCGCTTTACTAATTCCGATACCAGATCTCCTTCTTTTTCGATCAGGTCGGGGTTACTGGCGGGCAGCAGTGCTGGCTCTGCCCAGTGACTAGCCTGTTAGGCTGATCTTCGGAATTGTATCCGAAACTGCGGCAACTTCATCGTTTGATTATTTGTGCTCATCATAGATACAATGTATTGATACGCTTAGTACCATTAGAGTCGAAAATGATTTGAAATTAGTAGATCTGAGTTCAGCCTAAACAGAGATTTTCAGAAGCGGATATCTGTAAAACTAGGACATCGTGTATTATGCAACGATCCTAATTGAGACTTTGTTATAACACTTCTCGTAATTTACTAACAACTTCACTATAGCAACTATAACGCTGGAGCTCAATCAACATATTTCTGATGCATTCGTTTATACCTGACCTTGAAGTTGTGCGCGGTAAGAAACTCTGTTAGAACCTTAATCAACTACTTAGAACATACGTAGTCACAACATAATGACGCAAAAATGAGCGAGCGTGGGTGGGTAATTATCCGTATCAATGAGAAACACTTTGTATAAAAGAGGTAGCGCGAAGTATTTGGCTAAATATTTTTTTTTAGAACAAGGCGACTGGCCTCGTCGGTATGGAATATAAATTCTTGAACACTCGATCGGATCGTATCACTGATCCGATGCAGCGCCATTACAGACCCGTGCATAGTCTGGATTAGATGACCAAATATCATACTACCTGAAACGTTCAGATTCGCATATTCGTCAATGGTATAACTTCAGCCACGAAGACACAATACTGAAAGGTCACGTAATGCCAATTCGACTGTTCTACGTACCTAAAATACGTTAACCCACTTTGCAGCGGTGTTGTTGATGGCATCTGATCGAGTACAGACCCGCCACGGCCACGATCCGATCAACACGACAGTTGATCTTCTAATACCGACAACTTTGAATTACATATGTCAGATTAAATTACCAAATAAAAAGCATGAGTCATTTGTTCGCGTGGATAACCTATAGACAGCTTCGACTTTGGATGCTGTCTACTGATAGGAGCCGATATAGCACGAATTCGTCCTTACGAGCAGAAAAAGACAGTGTCCTATATAGAGGGAAGATCCATAGTCCAAATATAGCAGAGTTAAACTGTTCTTGTCATTTCTTTTTCTTTCTGTCCTGCTTTTTTAGCAGAGATAGCACAAGAACAAGTAGTAATAGTAGTATTATAGCTTCCCGCAGCCAGAAGTAGACCTAACCATATGGCATTTTTGCATGATCGACTGCACAGCTGCACGCGGTTTCAGTGTGTGCCCGCAAGGTGCACCCGATGCTAAGTTGATCGCCCATAGATAGCGATCACTTGTTTATGCCTCGGACGTTGGCCTGAATGCGACCAAACAAGGTCTTCAGTGACTCCTTTGATCTGGTTGATATATAGTACACAGATTATGCTTCCTGCAAGATACCAGTCGACCCAATTAAATATCTGTTGACAGACACGTACGAACTAAATGAGGAGACCTTTTCCGTCGAGCTAACCTAGCTTTTTTTCGATAAATATAAATCACGCGAAGTTGCGATCCACATTTACATTCCGATTCGCGTCTCCTACCTGCGAGACCTGCCAGCGGGTTCAAATACTCGCGCCATAGAAAAAAATCACTTCCGTGTTATCCTATATATTATCGAGCGTAGCAAGATAGATAGATGGATTCATATGGGCGAATTTTTTTCGGGTCGACGCTGTTGGATTAACGGGCACAACCCACATCTGTCCTCCAAAAAAAAACGAGATTCAATAATGTAATAGGCATTGCCAATTCAAATCGATCGGATCAATGTCCCCGAAGTAGTTGCACTGATCGCCGTCTGTTTGAACGCACGAGAACGCAATTCCAGTTGGCTCAAGTCGAAAGAGAGCTGAAGCAGCACCACTTTGGCTCGATCCGAGGCGACGAAGGACGGATGCAGGCTTCGTATTTTCATCGCATCGTTGTTGACGGCTTGGCCTAGCTACGACTGGTTGACTGGCTGGCTTTAGCAGTACGGCCGTTTGGTCGAGTGGTAGGATTTCCCTTTCCGGTGATGACGGGCAAAAGCCCTGGGCACCCGTCCTCTGACGTGTTTGGGAGTACCGAACCATCCAACGAGTCTTGGACGGTTGAGGGCGCAGCGCCTGTGGGGGATAGAAACGAGCACTCGGAGGCTACGCACAAGCCATCGACAGCGACACGAGATGAGGTAGTCTACTTGCGCAGGGTTTGTGGAAGACATGCACGAGGGCTGGTTTGTCCCTGCTTGTCTTCGCCTTAGTGGTTGCCTTGGTATGGTGGTTTGTCAGTCGGGCATAGCAGTAAGAAGGCCCAGTGAGGATGCTATTTGGCAGGTATTATTATGCAAGGTACGCAAGAGAAAGCGAGGCAAGGCGCCAGCTTTGACAGAGCCTATATCCCCTGGCAGTAGCATTTTGATACGAGTATCGGCGGAGATGGAGGACTCCAGAAGATTAGGTGCATTCCCTCCTCAACACTAAACCAATTACTAGCTACAGTCGAATTTGATAGATTGGTCTATAATGCGTAATTGTATCGGCATGAATGTATGCAGACTGCACATGCGCGGCATTTTCCCGTCTTAAACGTTTCTTTAAAATAATTCGACTACATGCGTACTTCTCTTGAAAAGAGCTGATCGACTTATTTATGTTTCGCTTATCCATAGCAGAATGTAGTTGAAGACTGAAGAGTCTTTGTAGTTCGACAGGCAATAAGTAAAGGTATAATTTGTATCCATAAAGTCTTACTTACTATAGTAATCAGGTTACCCTCTGATGCTTGGAGCTTCAGAACGTAATAGAATTGCATCATGTTACACAATGAAACAGAATGTTACGATTTCCTTAATCCTTAAAGAAGTACCAGCCTTAATGGAAAAGGTCGAGGATTTTTGGGGCTTTCCTTTAAGGAATCGAATTACGTATTAGTCTTTGATGACAGACAGTCGATGAAATGTCTGAAAAGTGACACTGCGAGAGGGTTATGACACGTTTTTTTCTTTACAGGCGTAGTCTCTGTGTCGTGCTATGTTAAAAAAAAGACAGTAAAAAGAGTAACGTATAATCTTCAAGATATTGATAGTAAGTGCGTTTGAAGTACGTTCTTATATTATACGTCATCACTCGTATAGTAATTACGAAGCCTGATGATTTTTTCAAAGCACAAACCAGCTTGAATATGCTTCAGCCGTTAATGGCCTGACAATTGACGAAGAAGCAGTTCGCCTATTTTGAAAAAAATCTGCTACAAACGTTCAATGTTTTACAGCCCATGACGGTTATTAAGGGATAGAGTACACTCCTTGGATCCAGGATGGACGGACGCTAAAAGCAGTTCACAATCCAAGCTTAGTCTCGAACCAGTAGGAAAAATCCAATGGGGTTCTGTTTCTTATTGCAAGGGAACGAACAAAAGATGAGCACTTCTGTAATAAAACAGCAGTACTTCATAATGCCACTAACAATAATAGTAGCGTTATGGTACTACGATTTGTATCGCGAATCACCAAACGATAGGGACGAATGCGGCGAGCAGTCGATTTCCACACAATTTTTTAATGCGACGCAATCGTTTTTTCGCGCAGCGTAGAAGGTCCTACTTATCCGAGGGGCCGGACAAAACACAAGCCGATTTACGTCCATCGAATCGGGTATGTGCATGCGTAAACATTCATTGCTCTAGATCTATTGGATCTGCTTGGATAATACAATATCCTAAGCTTAGAAGGACGCCTACCGTATTTAGTTTACTGAACATATTACAGTAACCTAGATATAAGTGACGTCAAGCGACCTTAAACGTACTATGTTTTGGTGACGAGTCTGTATGCATCAAAAGACTTATTTTTTTTATTGAACTGGTCGGCCAGTAAATGATCCCTTTGTCTAGGCAGCTACACTGCCATGACGCCATATTGTTACATAATGATGGCTTAGCGGGTAACGTATTTGCCTCCTAGAAAATGCTTAATAGCGATGCTAGACGTAAAAGTGAAAACATAGAGACATCGTTACATAACAATACGCTAGAAATAGACAATTTTAGGATCAAAATCATCCGAGCGACATTTGTTTAATGCATATTTATCCATGGTCACATATCCATCCTAAACGGTCAGTCTCTTTATCAATGTAAAGGCTTGTTTCTTGCTAAAAGCTAGCACATGTTAGCTGCTATATATATATATATATATATATATATGTATATATATATATATGCGCTTTTAGTTCGAAAAAAGCCTCAATTAACTTGTTTATAGTAGTAGTATAGTAGTAGTTATCTACGCTGGAAGCGTGAGGCTATAAAAGGACAATTCTTTTAGTCCATTCGAATTGAACGTTTTCATTGCGCTACACACGTTCTTCTAGCTTTCTCTAGGAACTATTCCCGCTTTGTCCGGCCATACTGGATCGTATTCCGTACTTGTCCGCCGACCTCCAACTATGAGAACGTGTGTCTTGGTTTAGCACTAGCTATTCGTGTGGCCCGTAGCAGGAGAAGGCAATAACCCTTATTCCCCTCCTATCACCAGTGTCCTCCCAAGACGAACAGCGTCGTACGGTATGTATATTGCGTGCAAAGTTCCTTCGAATCCATAGTGGACAACGTTCGCATGCAAATGCTGCATAGAAACCACCATCTCCAACCATTAGCTCTAACACCGGTAACTACAGCCTGCAAAACATGCATGGCCACCATTTTCCTGCAGAGCATTCAGCGGCTTATGGCCGCAGGCCAAAAGAAAGGTCTT